CTGACACAACATTGTAAACTGACAATAACTCAATGAAAAGGCAACCTACTGAACGGGAGAAGATATTTTGCAAACAATATGTCTGATAATGGGTTAATATCCAGAGTATATAACGAATGCATACAACTCTCTGTATATTAAAAAAAACCTGATTAAAAAATGGGCAGAGGACCTGAATAGGCATTTTTCCAAAGAAGAAACATAGATGGCCAATGGGCACATGAAAAAATGCTCAATATCACTAATTGTCAGGAAAATGCAAATCAAAACCACAACGAGATATCATGTCACAGCTGTCAGAATGGCTACTATCAAAACCATAACAAATAACAGATGTTGGCGAGGATGTGGAAAAAAGGGAACACTAGTACACTGTTAGTGGAAATATAAATTGGTACAGCCACTATGGAAACAGTGAAGTCTCTCAAAAAATTAAAAATAGAATTACCGTATGATCCAGCAATTCCACTCTCAGGTATATATCCAGAAAAAAAAAAAAAAGAAAACACTAATTTGAAAAAAAGATATTTACACCCTATCTTCACTGCAGCATTATTTTCAATAGTCAAGATATGGAAGCAATTTAAATTCCCATGAATAGATGAATGGATAAAGATGATATGATACACATATACATAATGGAATATTACTCAGCCATAGAAAAGTTTGCCATTTACAACAACTGGGTTGACCTGGAGGGTATTCTGCTTAGTGAAATGAAACAGACTAAGAAAGACAAATACTTTGTTTCACTTGTATGTGGAATCTAAAACAAATGAATATAACAAAACAGAAACAGACTCACAGAACACACTAGTGGTTCCAGAGGGGAGGTGCAAGACAGGTGAAAGAGATTACTTAGACGTACAAATTACTAGGTATTAAATAAACAACTTACAAGGATGTAATGTACAGCACAGGGAATATAGTCAATATTTATAACTTTGTATGAAGTACAATCTATAAAAGTATTGAATCACCTGAAACTAATATAATACTGTATGTCAACTACACTTCAGTAAAAAACCGCCAAGTCCTGTGCTCTTCCAACACTACCCAACTCTTTCCCTGATGCCATTCTTCTTGAGCTTTCACATTCTGAATTGAAATTTAAAAAGAATCAATGTTTATTAACCCACATTTGCCTCTGGGTCCTTTTTTACGTTTTTCTTGCCACATTACCTTGTTGTCTGATCTTGGGCAGGCTGTTTATCTTCTCTGGGTCTAGTCTGCATATGTAAAGTAAGCAGAATTCTTAGTCCAGGCAGCATAGCTCAGCATTTTAGAGTGGCTCTGAGCTAGTCTCCACTGGTTTGAATCCCAGCTTTTATTGATGACTGGCTGCAAAATTTGGAGCAAATAGCATAATCTCCATGTGCCTTGACTTCCTTATCTGTAAAATGGAGCTAGTAACCACATCTGCCTCATAGGGTTGTTGTAAAGATGAAATTAATACATACAAAGATATGAATGTGTATAACTGAGTCGATTTGCTGTACACTTGAAACTAACACTGTAAACTGACCACATTTCAATACAAAATAAGAATTAAAAATGTATATACATAAAGTATTTAGGACAGTGCCAGGCATATAAAAAATGCTCCAAAATGTTTCACAGCTTAATATTATCAACTATAAAGATGAGGCTAAGATTGGTTTTTCTCTAAGCTTGGTGAGAAAAATTTCTACTGTCCTGTTACCCCTCCACAGCCTGCCCTCCCTCTCCTTTCCTGTTCTCCAGTGTATCTGAACCACAAGTGCTGTGCTAGGAAGACCGGTCTGAAGCTGACCACACCGGCCAACTAACTACCACTGCTCTGTCAGTGCCAAACTCCTGTGATTCCTTTATTTGGAACCGATCCTCAAGTGTTCTCAGTACAACCAACAGTGAGTACTGTGGCCTTTCACTATGGCTTCTGAGGCAAGCACTATCCTTTTCTGAAAAGCTATGCTTTTTAATGTTTAATAAAGACATAAAAAACCCAAAGTTATACAGTAATAAAACCAAATAAATAGCAATATTCTTAGAAGGAGGATCAAAATGACTAATAAGATAACTTCTGCCAAAGGAATAAGGGATAACAGGTAAGGAACTGGGGCCAGCAATGTCATTGTAACTACCTTGTGATTTTACATTCCACTCAGGAGTATCACAGGCCCCCAACCGGCGCACATCTGCTTGTTGTAAAGATACACACAAGCAGCACGAACCCTCAGCTTATGAAGATGAGATTTCACTTGGTCACTGGTCTTTTATTTCAGCTTTCCTGATTTCTACTTCTGGATGAAACCAAGCTGACAATGGGACTAATAAATACTGTACGTTTTTTCCTGTATAATTCTCTATTGTCTTGGTTGTAGAGAGGAGCAAAAACTCAAGGATTTTGCAATATACTGTAACTTACTTTCTGTTTTTTAAGTGAAGACATGTCGGGAGGAAAAAAATGTGTTACAACCAGGATATTCAGGTTGTAAAACAAAACAAAACAAAACAAAACAAAACCAACCTTTCACAATTGTTGGTGGGGAGGAGGCTGCTATTTTATATAGGGAATCAAAGGAAGCTTATCTGAGAAGGAGGTGTTTGGGCTGAGACCTGAAGGAAGTAAAGAAGCATGCATGGGACGGCTGAGAAAGTGTGTCCAGATGGAAACAGTAAATGCAAAGGTCCTGGGGCAGAAATGTGCTTGGTCTGGAGGAGGAATGCCAAAGAGGCCAGTGTGGCTGGAATACCATGTGCAAGGAGGAAACAGGAAGGGAGGAGGTCAGAGAGGCATAGGGCCTTAAGGAGTTTGGATTTTGTTCTGGGACAGGTGGGAAGACATGGGAAGGCTTTGGGCCGAGGAGTAACATTTTGGGTGACAGAAGTACTGCAGAGTACACTTGAGGAAATATAATGCAAGGCTGGGGAATAGGGGGAAGCATAAAGTGGGACATGGAGATGTGCTGCTGTAGACACATAGCAAGTGGTGTTGATTCCCCAAGTTGAGCTTGTACACCAAGAGTGATGGAGGGTAGAAAATTCTGGATCAACACTTGCCTTGTTTCACGAGACTTTGTGCAGATGTACAAAGGTGTGGAGAATGTGTGTGAGATGTACTTCACAGGGAAAATACTCAGTCTCTCCTTTTGCAATCTAGACCATCAGGGTATCTTTCTAGGCCTCATCCAACAATCTAGTTAAGCCTCTATAGACAACTTGACGGGCACTAAAGGGTGTTCCTCCTTGTGACCACTCATGATCCTCCAAGCAGCCTTGTGAGGGCGCGAGGGCAGGTGTTTTTTCCAACACCTCCTTTGGCAGTAAGGACACATACTCAGTGTTGCCAGAGCTGTGCCAACCCCCATCTTTAGCAGCCGTTAACATAAATCTTTAAGTCACTTACAGAGACAAACAAAAACAAAAACCAGATGGAACCAGCTAGGACCAAAATGGTGACAAATCTGCCCTCCAACAGCCCGAGCCTCATCACACACCGTACTACATGAGCAAATTAAGTCACACCAATGACTGACGACTGGAAATTTTACGACTACGAGTGACCTAAATGACACACCTACGGAGAAGAGCCCTGCCTCTTCCCACACGGCGGGCAAACGCACATGCGTCCCATCATCAGCCTCCCTCCTCCTCCCCTTGTCTTCGCTCTTTAGAGTCAAATCCCTCTCCCCACGTGGGTGAGAAGTTGATCTGTGAATTTAGTTCAGCTGAGCCATCTGTGGCCAGTAAATAAAGCTTGCACTGCATCGATCTCAGCTTCAGTTTCGTTATTTGCTACTCGTACCCGAACGGAAAAAGAATCTTTCCCCACCAAGGCAGAGAGCCTCGGCCAGGCCAGGACCCGAGCAGGGTCCTTATGACTTAGTTCGGTAACAAGAGAAGTTTCTGCCCAGATCACACTGCTGGTTGGTGACAACTGAGGGAGGGAGGGAGGGAGTGAGCCAAGATTACCTGGCACTGAATTCAGGTTCTTCCTATAACCCCGTTCTGTGCCTCTTAGGCGACCAATTTATCAAGGGAGTAAGCCCAGAGCAAAGATGACGCCCACACACGTGGATGCAGCTGAACAAAGACATTACCTTGTGGAGAATGACACCAAGACGCCCCACTTGGCTTTGACCAGAGGACACTTGTTCTCATTACACACAGCGATTTAGGATCTTACCTTAGATGTTCTTCCGTGTGCTGTTCTACAGGAACTGAGGGACAGCATGGCTTGTGAAAAGACACATCATTTGTACAAGTGACACAGTGCCGTTGTTTCTTTGAAAACCCAAGCATGCCTGATCTTACAGAACTTGTTCTTCTATGAGCCATGGCTGGGGTCCATTTGTGAACCAGGAGGGGAGGGGGAAGAAACCAGAAGCTACTTACTAAGTAGACATCAAGCACGGAGGCGTTATCCTCCTCAATTTCCAGAGTGTTTGGTTCAGAAGTCAGGTAGATGGTCCCCTCTTCCAAGGTAAAGGTTGAACTGGAAGGTAACCCTTTACTGGAAAGATAAAGAAGAATGATGAGCGTGGGGCCTTCAGAACAAAGCCCAAGGACACTTTCAAACTTGTGGCGAAGGAGGCTGACGTGGGAAAGCTTTTAGGGGAAGAAAACAAATTTGGGGCATTTGAAAGAAATACGGTCACCCCTAGAGATATGCTCACTTGAGTTTAATGAATTTGGCTTTACTGGTAGTGCCTTTTTCTCTGTCTACTTCAGCGCAGGAGACACTTCTTTGCATTTCTGAGAGGTGATCTGGGGTGGAGGCGGGGTCCCACGCCTTGTGAGTGGATTGCTCTGAATCCAGAAACCCTCTCTCTGGTCATTTTTGATTCTGAATAGTTGGTTTTTGCTGCTTAAGTCCTTCTCTCATAGTATTCATGATTTGCTAGTTTATAGAAATCATTAGCATTGATAAATTTCTTTCTCTTATTATTTTTTTCTTTTTGGCATGGAAGGTTCAATTACATCATGATTCTCAAACTTAAATGTACATCAGCGTTCCCTGGGGGACTGGTTAAAGCCCAGTTTCCTGGGCCCCCCCCCCCAGAGTTTGATTCAATGGGTCTGACATGGAGCCCATCAATCTGCACTCCTAACAAGCTCCCAGGTGATGCTCTTGCTCCTGGTCCAAGGCCGACACTTGGAGTAACAATGATTTACATAAATACAGAGCACTGTATTATGTGCTTTGTGAGGACAGCAACAAAAGCTAAAGGGATGCAGGTAGACAGTGGTATTGGAGAGTCCGCTGGGAAGGGAAACCACCTTGTTTTGTCATGATATGATAACCAGGGTTAACTTTGAAGCAATTGATCCATTTTGATATTATTTAAATTGGGGATTCATTTAGGGGCTCAGGAATGTACAATCTTCCCCACTGAAATAAAAGTTAGTTACGTTTTTAACCTGTGGACATTTTCTGGGTGATGGTTCTGCAGTAAAGTGTGATGCTAAGGAGGTGGGCTATGGGGCTGGCTGTCAGCCACGTGGGACAAACCTGGCAGTAGGCTGTGGCCTTCCCTGGGCAGTAGGTCTGAGAGCGGGGGTCCAGACGCCTGGCCTCCTTGCTCACCTCCCTGTTATAGGGCCCGATAACGCTTGGGGCTGAGCTCAGCCCATTGAAAACTCCCCATCTAAAGCCATCCTCCGAGCTTCTTGTCTGAGCTTTCCAGCTGGACACGTGACTACTGATGACATTACACTCCTCTGTCCTCCGCTAGTCTGGGAACTACACATAGTTCTATTTCTGTAATATTTACCTATTAATTGAAGATATATGAAATAGTTAGAAATCCTGAGCTTTTCAATATTAAAAAATTTGTCAAAAGAACTGTGTGGATCTTAATCAATGAGGTTCATTTATATAACATTTGTTGACTGAAATAAAATGCACAGCCTAGAAGTTGAGAGTTGTGTTTTATTGGTGACTTTCTAAGGACTCGAACCCAGGAGACAGCCTCTCAGATTGCTCTAAAAGACTGTTCCTCCCAGGCGAGGGAGAAGCCAGGATATATAGGAGTCTTGCAACAAAGAGCAGGTAGTCAGAACATCAAAAGGTTACTGTTAAAGAAAACCAGATATCTCAAGTTAAAGAATTTAGTGCTTTTCTGTGTACTGGAAGCTGGAAAGGTCTGGGCTCACTGAAAGCCTTCCTTTGATATGTACCTAGCTGTCTAGGGCCAGTATCCTGTTCTTTTATATCCCGAGTTCCCTCAGGGTGCACCCCTGGAGGTGGCAGCAGAGGCCCAGCCACCTGCTTGTCTGCATCCCTTTGCTCACTGTTGAGAGTGGTGGTAGTGGCTGATGACTTGATGGCCACAGCATCCTTTGTTTACTGACATGGCTGGCAATATTTTTCATTCACACATATAATGAAGAAATGGTAAGAATACAGACTGGTAGTAAGAGAGGAAAGGCAAGGCAGGGAACTCCCATAGGTCTTCCATTTGGTAACATTTGAGAATGTAAATTCAGGAATTAAAGCCACTTCACTTTGGCTTGGTATATTTTCTCTTAAATTCTGGACATAGGAAAAAAAAATCCTCTTGCTTTTCAAAAACCCAAGATGGGTTATACAGTATGGGAAACAGAGTCTATTCTGACTGATTTTAAAGAGCAGGGTGAGTGGCCTCTTTCCATCAAGCTGTTGACTTTATACTGTAAACCTTCACAGATCTCTTGGATTAAATAAACCAACAGGCTTCAAGGGATGCTGTTCGGAGAGGCACTGTGTGGTAGTGAACACTGCTCAGCTTATTTTCTGGATCAAGAGCAAGGATGCAGTGATGGGCTTTAACTGGCTTTTGCCTTTTAACTGCTAAGATGTCACTCACTACTCCTGTGGGTAGAGAACAGTCCTACCTGGTTAAGCCTTATGAGAAAGAGGAATTCTTTATCTACTTAAACATCAAAGCAAGAAACAACGTGGTCAGAAAATATGTACATGTGTCATGATTTTTGTCTTTTATTCCTTTTTTTTGGTTCACATTTTATATCATTAAAAAATTTCTAATGGCTTCTGGGTTATTTTGTAAATGTATAATTTATTTGATGAGGTTCAAATCTAAGTTTTCCTCTTCTTGTGTGAGTTTTCTGTTATAATTTTAAATTATTTCCACCCTAAATTATGAGTATAACCAAGCATATTCTAGAAGTGCTTTTTCTTTTTTAAAGGTACCACATGTAGTTATAAAATACAGCAAAAAGTAATCTTCTTTCTTCTGTCCTTTTGTAAGCCAAAGTTCACCTCCCTAGGAGTAATCCATTTTGCAAGTATCTTGCAGTCTAATATTTATATTTTATTTTTAGAAACTATGAGTAAGCCACTGGCATGCTTAAGACCAAATTAAAATAGAAAAAAAATAGAGTATTCTTTAGGGTTTTAACAAGTACACTTATCAATTCTTTTAGCTAAAATACAATAGATTACATGAAAAAGGAAATACTGAATTTCCTCAGTACCATATGGTCAAATTTGATAAAATCAGTTAAAAAAACCCTTTTGTTACTCACACTATTTCTCACATGTATTAGAATAATTTCCTATCTTAGCAGAATATTCTGAGCATCCTTAAATTTGGGGGCCAAAAATGAAGCTCATAGCAACCTGTATCTAGATTATATTAAGAACTCTTATGGTACAACGATAAATAACACAATTAAAAATGGGCAAAGGATATGAATAGTCACTTCTCCAAAGAAGATATCTAAATGACCAATAAGCACATGAAAAGATGCTCAACATCATTAGTTATGCAAATCAAAACCACCATGACATACCACTTCCCACCCAGTAGGATGGCTATAATAAAAAAGACAGAGGAAAACAAATGATGGGGAGGATGTGGAGAAAGTGGAGCCCTCCTACATTGTTGAAGAGCATGTAAAATGGTGCAGCTACCTTGGAAGAGTTTGGTGGATCTTCAAAACTATATGACCCAGCAATTCCACTCCCTGGCATATATTCAAGGAAAATGAAAACATATCCCCACATATAACCAACATGAATGTTCACAGTAGCATTACTCATAATAGCCAACAAGTGGAAATAACGCAAAAGCCCACTAACTGGTGAAAGGATAAATAACTCATACAATGGAATATTATCTGTCAACAAAAAATAATAAAGTACTGACATATGCAAAAACATGAGTGAACCTTGAAAACATGTGAAAGAAGTCATAAAGGACCACATACTGTATGGTTTCATTTACATGAAAGGTACAGAATGGGCAAATCTAGGAGACAGAAAGCAGGTTAGTGGCTGTCAAGGGCGGGGGTCAGGCAGCAATCGGGAGTGACTACTACTGAGTGTGGGGTTTCCTTTTAAGGTACTGAAAAATATTCTAAATTTAGATTCTGGTAATAGTTACACAGCCTTGTGAATATATTAAACCTACAAAACTGTATACTTTAAATGGGTGGATTTTATAGTATGTGAAATGTATCTTCATCTTAATAAAGTTAAAAAAAAGTTTCATGAAGCATGTAAAGGTCATGATTCCAAACATGATCTTTCAGTATATAGTATAAGAAATACCAGAAACTTGATGGAATAGATATTTTAGGTCACATAAACTTTAGAATGACCTGTCCTGAATACACCCCTGATTGATTTGCCAGTCTTTCAAAAAAACATGTTCTTTTTCCTAATAGAGAAAAAAATTCTAGTTGACCTGACATGGGAAGGTTGGACTCTGTGATTTCAAGGCCTGAACTGGAGAGACCATGAGTGCAGGCCCGGGGAAGCCTGGGGACCATCTGCAGTGTCACAGGGCCAGTGCTGGTGCAGCATAGCACACAGGTAAGGGGACCTTCATCCTGGAGGATGTCTGGCCTAGAAAATGCAAACTGCTGGCCCACAGACCCAGCCTGGCTGGGAGAAGTGTGTTTTGGGCCCAAGGAGACTGTTTGAATGATTGCTAAATTAAGAAAGAGGAAATTCCCACAAAACCCCAGTTTTCCCACTGCTTCTTAAGAGAAATGAGAAGAGCTAGCAACTCGGAGCCCACACGTCCAAGTAGAGATGAGTTTGTGGCCTGTCCTCTCCAGTTCCCCAGGGTCCCCACCACTCTCTTCTGTGTCACACCTGGCCTGTTCTATCCACATGCATCATCTCTACCTGGCCCCTCTGTGTCCTTGTCAGCCCAGCATCTCTCCTTTGCTGATGAGGAAACACTGATGAGGTCCAGGGAGGCATAGTAACTTGCCTAAGGTCACACTGCGGTTGAATAGAGTTAGGATCTGAACTTCGTTTTCCAATTAAACACCTTTTCTGTGGTCATCTCTGCTGAAATTTTAGACATTTGCTACTGCAGAAATTGAGGGAGCTGAGGCCAAGGTGCCTAGAGCTTGAAAAATCATATAAACCAGCAAAAACAAATTGTAGCATTTGGTGCTTGATGTGAGCTCTGGAGATCTTTCATTTGAAACGAGTAATGATGGCCAAGAAGGTTTGAGGAAAAGTAAGTAGGCAAAATATGCTTTACAAAGCAACAT